AGAGAGAGAGAAAGAAGAGTTCTAGAAACATAAATTTAGAGGAAGATGCTAAATTAAAAAAATAGAGAGATGCCCTTACCATTAACATGAAAATAGAGAAAAAAATTCTTTATTGTCTTTATTTGCAAAGTTTGTAATATAAACTACATATTTTTACTTTTTCTTTTTTATTTAAATTTTTATTTTTTTCTTAGAGACAAAGTCTTGCTCCATTGCCCAGGCTGAGTGCAGTGGTGCAATCACAGCTCACTGCAGCCTCGAACTCCTGGGCTCAAGCAATCCTCCCACCTTAGTCTCCTGAGTAGCTGGGACTATAGATGCATGCCACCACGTCTGGCTAATTGAACTATAATTGGCAGTTAAAGTTAAACCAAAGAACAAAATATACAAATAGTTGGCTCTGTGCGACATTTTTTTCGGTAAGAATTTGCCAGATCTGGTCGCATTCCAAATACTAGATATTCAATCAAAATATGAGAGTCCATCATAATTGAATGGCAGACAAAATAATGGCTATATTTCCCTTATCTAAATAGATAAAGCAGGTATTCCAGTCATATAGAAGATAAGGATATTAACACAAACTCTAATTATAAATACAGAGAATATTCCACTTTATTCAGATAACAGCTGACACAACTTCTTGTTTTGCTTTATGTTCTCCCTACTGCAAATGAAATTCCTGGACTCATGACATCAGTAAGTACTGGAGGCTATGCAACCTGATTCCCTGTACCTGCTTTACAAAAATACAACTTAGAAATATTAAGTGCCTTTACCTCATAAAGACATTGTGATTTTTGGTATTAGGTACGTTTTGAATTCAGTAGAATGTATGAAAATACATTTATATGTGCTTAATTTCTTATATACTTAACACATATAATCTTTCATTTTCCCTTGCTGATAAAACCTAAATTTCAAGGCAGAGATTAAAAAAAATTTGAATAATTAAGATCCTGGTCTATGAAATATACTAATCTTAAAACATATTCTTGGTCATAAAATAATCTCGACTCCTATAAAATCAAAGCTACAGGTAATACTACTAATATCATGAGGTAAGTCTCATCCCTGGCATTACCGACTTACTCAAAAGGAGACACTGAATATTCCGTTTCAAAGGAATTTGAAGCCTAAAATGACAAAATTCAGAACAGTATAACTAAACAATGGAAGCTAGAAAGATCTGGAAGAAACACATCACAAAGTCCACAGCACAGAATATACCTTTTAATTCTGGAAAAAAGTCCCCAAATAGAAAAACCTATGTTAAAATTAATAACAAACAGTAATAAAAAGAAATTTCCAATTATGTAAGTGTTGGATGAAATGCTAAAGCATGAAATAACCACACAAAGGAAGAAAATAAATGGCCAATTTGAAGAATCTTCTGTCATCTGGTTCCCCAACTACACTGTGTGACATATAAAATAAAAGAGACAAAATATGAGGGCTTTTATTAGTTTAAGTTTTGAGTACCTACCAACAAAAAAAAAGGGAAGAAAGATTCCCTAAAAACTAGTAAGACTTTTACTGCTTCTCTTTTTATTTCAAAAGCAATTTACTTATTTAACATAAAGACAGGTACCTCAAAATATTTGAAAAGAACACGAGTGAGTGTCTCTCTGAAGTGAGAAGGACATAATACCGACTCGATAATCACAACTCGGCGGTCTCTGGGATTCACCAATAGATGCCTGAAAAGTGACAGTTTTGGCTTTAAAAATAAGTAAACGTTTTTATTCATTTTGGTAAGTCATACAATTTGTTAAGAATAGTGAAACTGTACTACCTTAGCTTAAGATACTTTATCACAAAAAGACATCTTCATTTTATTACCCCAGAAAGATAACATTTCTGACTTCTTACTACATACCGTGCAATGTACTAGGAACTTCATTAACTTATCTCAGAAACCTAAAATTATAGCCTACTATGATTACCAACTTGAGCCATTACATAGATTTTTTTTTTTTTTTTTTTTGAGACAGGATCTGGCTCTGTTGCCCAAGTTGGAGTGAAGAGGTGCAATGTCACCTCACTGCAACCTTGGCCTCCTGGGTTCAAGCCATCCCCTGATCTCAGTCTCCCAAGTAGCTGGTACTATAGATGTGAGCCACAGCACCAGGTGATATTTTCTTTATTTTAGGTTACAGTAGTATATGCTCACAAAGCTCCAAATATTATGACATGTGAAACCTGCATAATACAAGAACCTTATATTCCTACTACCCAGAACTACCACTGATAGACGTTTATATATTTTTTCATTCTTATGAATGTATGGGGGTATGTTTTAACAGAAATACTCATTCTATAGATGTGGTTCTTTAACTTGCTTATTTCACTTATCAATATATCCCACACACCACACACAGGAAGTAGTACCTTCCTGTTCTACTACATACAGATGCAGAACTCTTTTTTATAGCTGCATGGTATTTCACTGTATGAATGTAGAATAATTTAATTATCAGTTCACTTCATTAATGAACATTTCATTTTTAATATTTCCTTAAGTCTGCCAGTTTTCTACTCTTCAAATATATTTTTGAAAAGTTTGAAAATAAGCATGCAAAAATGGCAATAGAAGTCAATTTTTTTTGGGAGGGTGCCTCAGATGTAATACAACCAATTATCACTATGGCATTAGGAAAATCTATCTAATCATAAAAGTTAGAAAACAAAATGTCTCTTACCTGAAATATAGTATGTGGATGAATTCCTTTAGGTAGGAATATAATTCTTCTGTATTGATATTATACTGAACAACTCTGACAGGCTGTAAAAAATTAAAATGATTTATTAATTTATATTAATAAAATCATCTCAAATTAAGATTAAAATGTAATTATTTACTAATGAGTTTTCTGGGAATAAATTAAAAGCAATTTGTATTGAGATTACAAAAATTAAATACGCAATAATCTCTTAAATTAGGAATCCTTAAGAACTGGAATGTCTAAGATGGCAGAATGTTTTAGTCTGTGGTAATGGAAGTGTGTGTTCATAGGAAGTAAAGAGTTTTGCTCACATGCTATCACTCAGATAACATCTGAGTTATCATTTTGGCTTGACTGATAAAACTCAGCATTGAGGCCAGGTGTGGTAGCTCATGCCTGTAATCCCAGCACTTTGAGGGGCTGAGGTGGGTGAATCACTTGAGGTCAGGAGTTCGAGACCAAGTTGGCCAACATGGTGAAACACTGTCTCTACTTAAAATAAAAAAATTAGCCAGGCATGGTAGTGCATGCCTATAGTCCCAGCTACTCCGGAGACTGAGGCAGGAGAATCACTTGAAAACCCTGGAGGAGGTTGCCGTGAGCTGAGATGGCTCCACTGCACTCCAGCCTGGGCAACAGAACCAGATTCTCAAAAAACAAACAAACAAAATTCCCAGCACTTTGGAAGGCCGAGGTGGGTGGATCACCTGAAGCTAGGAGTTCAAGACCAGCCTGGCCAACATGGTGAAACCCTGTCTAAAT